AATGGCACAGGGAAATGGCACATGGGAATGGCACAGGGAAATGGCACAGGGAAAATGGCACACGGGAATGGCACAGGGAAATGGCACATGGGAAATGGAACACGGGAAATACCACATGGGAATGGCACAGGGAAATGGCACAGGGAAAATGGCAAACAGGAAATGGCACACGGAAAATGACACAGGGAAAATGGCATGCGGGAAATGGCACAAAGGAAATGGCACATGGGAAATGGCACATGGGAAATGGAACACGGGAAATGCCACATGGGAATGGCACAGGGAAAATGGCACATGGGAAATGGCACATGAAAAATGGCGCACGGGAAAATGGCACAGGGAAAATGGCACACAGGAAAATGGCACCCAGGAAAATGGCACACGGGAATGGCACAGGGAAAATAGCACACAGGAAATGGCACAGGGAAATGGCACAGGGAAAATGGCACATGGGAAATGGCACATGAAAAATGGCGCACGGGAAATGGCACAGGGAAAATGGCACATGGGAAATGGCACAGGGAAAATGGCACATGGAAAATGGCGCACGGGAAATGGCATAGGGAAAATGGCACATGGGAATGGCACATGGGAAATGGAACACGGGAAAATGACACAGGGAAAATGGCGCACGGGAAATGGCACAGGGAAAATGGCACAGGGAAAATGACACAAGGAAAATGGCACAGGGAAATGGCACAGGGAAATGGAACACGGGAAATACCACATGGGAATGGCACATGGAAAATGGCGTACGGGAAATGGCACAGGGAAAATGGCACATGGGAAATGGCACAGGGAAAATGGCATGTGGGAAATGGCACATGGGAAATGGCGCACGGAAAATGGCACAAGGAAATGGCACATGGGAAATGGCACACGGGAAAATGGTACATGGAAAATGGCACATGGGAAATGGCACAAAGGAAATGGCACAGGGAAAATGGCACACAGGAAAATGGCACATGGGAAATGGCACATGGGAAAATGGTACAGGGAAAATGGCACAGGGAAAATGGCACATGGGAAATGGAACACGGGAAATACCATGCGGGAAATGGCACAGGGAAAATGGCACATGGGAAAATGGCACACAGGAAATGGCACAGGGAAAATGGCACACAAGAAATGGTGCACGGAAAATGGCACAGGGAAAATGGCACACAGGAAATGGCACATGGAAAATGGCACAGGGAAAATGGCACATGGAAAATGGCACACGGGAAAATGGCACACAGGAAATGGCACATGGGAAATGGCACGTGGGAAATGGCACATGGAAAATGGCACAAAGGAAATGGCACATGGGAATGGCACAGGGAAAATGGCGCACGGGAAATGGAACACGGGAAATACCACATGGGAATGGCACACGGGAAATGGCACACAGGAAATGGCACAGGGAAATGGCACAGGGAAATGGCACAGGGAAAACGGAACATGGGAAATGGCACATGGAAAATGACACATGGAAAATGGCACAGGGAAAATGGCATACAGGAAATGGCACACAGAGTTGGTTCAGTGAGGTTTTAACCCCCCC